GCCATGGCCAGAGACACCTTCCAGTAGATGAGGTTTCTTCAAGCTCTATCCAGTGTTTTCTTTACTATAGTAAAAATCACATGTAGGACACATAACACACACGTGGAGTGAGTTGTGCTGGTGGCAGCTGCAGTTTCCTCCTCTCCTGCCCACCAGTTTGTTGCACATGCACCAGGTCTTGACAAAACTGCATTTTCGGGCTGTGTGCTCTATTTCAAGCAGCGTTCTGTTTCCCTGGTGAATTATGTGCTTTTCACACACATTATGAAATGGGAAGGAATGCATTAAAAAAAAAAAAAAAAAAAAAAACCAAACCAAACACCACACTGTTGCTGAAACTATTTGATTTTTGTGTATTTTTAGCAGAAATTTCTGTCTTATCATTATCTCCAGCTCTTGCTGGAGCAGCAGTGTTCAGTAAAGCCACACATTTTTGCATAGGAAGGTCAAGACAGTTTGTTCCACCCATTATTTGGTGTTAGGCATCTCTGCAAGACAGTTTGTGTTTCCAAGAGCTGAACCTTCCCCATGGACAGTCCTTTTTCTTCTTTCTCTGAAAGACTAAGCCACTGGGAATTAATTAAGTTATGACATAAACAGTAAATCATTTTTCCAGGCTTGGAAACAGGCATAAGTTAGATTTTTCACAGAATCACAGGCTGGTTTGAGTTGGCAGGAACCTTAAAGCTCATGTCATCCCACCCCCTGCCATGGGCAGGGACATCTTCCACTATCCCAGGGTGCTCCAAGCCCCATCCAGCCTGGCTTTGGACACTGCCAGGGATCCAGAGGCAGCCACAGCTTCTCTGGGCAACCTGTGCCAGGGCCTCACTGCCCTCACAGGCAGGAATTTCTTCCTGTTTCTAATTAACCCTTCCTTCCTTCAGCATAGGTTCAGTTTATTATCACTAAACTTACTGGGTGACTAAATAAGAGAGACTGAAGTAGGCTGAGAGGTAGGAGAGGGTGACATATACATCTAAACTTACCTGTTTCATTGAGCCTCTGTAGCTCATCATGGAACAGCCCAAATGAGCAGCACTGTCATTTCCTGGAAGCTCAGGTGCCACCACTTAATGAGAACCTTCCAGAGCACAAGTGCCGTAAGGGAGGGATTTAGCGTTCTCTTGAGGATTGAAGGCTGTCTCAACAGGGAGGTGTTGTAGTGTGTTGAGCTACTCTAAAATCTTTTAGATAAGTCTCTGTGTGTCTGTGCAGCATGGAAAATGAGGATGGTTTGGCTTAGATTGGGGTTGTCTTCTGATGTCTGCAAGAGCAGAACCCATGGAGCAGTGTGGGGATGAAACTGAGTTTGGCCATCATCTGCTCACCAGATAATTAGTGCAGGGTGGATGGGGCTTGGAGCAACTTGCTCTAGTGGAAGGTGTCCCTGCCAATGCCAAGGGGTTGGAATGAAATGAGTTTAAGGTCTCTTCAACCCAAAGCATTCCATGATTTTAGCATTGAACCATCTATGTTGGGAGCAGGGTGAGCAATGTGCACTTGTGCACCTTTTAAGTCTATTTCAAGGATTTTGATGCAGGAAAGAGGAATGAGTATGTAGGAATTACACCAAGCCCACTGAGATATTGTGTGTTCCCTACAGCTGTGCCCTTGGCCAGAAAGAAGGATAAGCACTGAAGTTGGGGGGCTCGAGTACTGGGGGGGACTGTAGAGTCCTTGCAGGTACAGCAGGTTCAGGAGGTTCCCCTGCACTGTTTTGCTTTGACATTTGGTGTTCAGAGTTGCTGATGCCTTTTGAGAGAAGATCTGTGGAGCTCCCTCTTCATCACCAAAGCACCAGCATTCCTGGGGAGGTCCAGGTTTACCCCCGGGGGCTGCTCCAGTTCAGATCAGGCGGTATGTTGCTGGTGAGAGGTCACCCCATAGTGCAGATGTGCTCGGCCTGTTTTCTGCTGTGGAAGTATTTAAGCCTTTCTCTTCAGGTTGCTTCCAGTTGCCAAAGCTGCCTTATCTGGAGGATGTTCTTCAGATTAAAAATCCTTAGATATAAATACATACTGTACTCCTTTCTGATGAGATTGTTACTCTGAAATCTCTCTCTGGGATTGTATCTGAGTTTTGTTGTAGTCTGCTTATTTCTATAGTGTTTAGCACCTTTTCCACTCCAGACTTGTAAAGAGTCTGCCTTTTACAGGCTGTCTGACATCAAACCTTCAGCCTCCACCAAAAAAAGCCCCTCCAAATTAAGTATTTACAATGTGGCAGTTCAGAGCAGAAGGTTAACAGCACTGCTTGAGTTCTCATACCATAGCGGAGCATCTTCCTCCAGCATCCAGGGAGCTCTGGAGGCACCTGCAGGCTCAGCAGAATCATGTTACGGGATAGCAAGGGAGGAAAATTTAATTTAAATAAAAACTGCTTGCGGTTTGGCTGTGGGCAGTGCTTTCTCCAAGGGATGGGTTGAAGAGCAGTGGAGTGGGAGCCTTGCTCTTTGTGTCTGCTCTGCTGTGGGCTGAGTTGGAAACAAAACACCACTTGGCACCCATCTCCTTGCAGGAAAGGCCCTTTTCTTCTGTGTATAATCACAGACTGACTTGGGTTGGAAGGTTTAAAGACCATCTCATTCCACTCCCTTGCCATGGACAGCCTCTCAGTTATGTTACTTACAAATCTCTTTGCTTTTGATAATGAATGTAGGGAAAATAATTTCTGAGCATAAAACTTCCAAGGGAGGGAGCCAGCCAGGAGTCCATGCATTGGAGCAGTGCACTTGGGTCTCACAGCAAGATGTTTGCTGTACCCAGTGAGTTATTAGTGCTGGCTATTATTAAATGTTAATTGAGAAAAGAAGGTCTCCTTCTTTGCATCCCCAGCACTGCCGAGGGGATCTGGCTGAGCTGCAGCATAGTTCTCGGGGGAGGGAGGAAAGACAAGGAGATGTTTGGTCATCGCCAGCCAGACCCACCTTCCTGCGCCGGGAAAGGTCCATGACTGTGGCTTTGAAATGTAAACAAGCCAAAAAATCTTGTTCCAAACTGTTGGTGTTTAAAGACAGAAAAGTACATCCAGAGGAAATGTTCCTTTGTGGACTGTCCCTGGGGCTTCCTGCAGCCAATAAGAGCTGCTCCTCAGCTGTGCCCTCCCCACCAGCGTCATCTCTAAAGCTTTGGTTCTGCCTTTTTGGTTTGAAGAGCAACTCGTCCAGTGTTACGCGTTTCGATAATGATTCCTGCAAATGTATTTAATTCAAAACAAACACAGTGGGAAGCAACTACAAAGCAGGCTGCTCCAACAGCTGGTGCCTGAGGGAGCTGGCTGCTGGTGTGTGATTGTGGTGGGACAGGCTTGCAGAACATCCCTTTCATTCTGTGTGTGCTGGGGCACTGGGAACTTTGCCCTGTGTACTGGCATAGTGGGTTTGGGGTGATGGGTGTTTGGCTGAACAGAGTCCTTGGCCTCTTCACTGCCTTGTAGCATCTCCAGGAGTTCTTGGAGAGCTGACGAGAGCAGAAATTGGCTGTGTGGTGGCTGGGATTTTCTCTGCAGTAGGAGCCATGGGTTGCTAACAGGGCCTGCAGCATCTATGGCAAAGGATTGCAGGAGGAAGGGGAGCAGAAGTAAGAGCTGCAAGGACAAGTCACACATATGCTGCCATCTGCAAACTGATTGCAAACACATCTGGGCATATCAGGGTTTGGGCACCCTCTCTGCCTTGTAGCATCCTTGGTCCACTGGGTGCTCATGATGCAGGTTCTCTGCTTGGGTGCCTGTTTCTTCAGTGCAAGTTGGAAGCTGGTGTTTCAGTGGCCTCTGCCACTCCACTGGGTTTGGAAATACCCAGAGCAGCTCACAGAAGGGAGATGGTGAGTGGAGAATAATTCAGTCTTCTGCTTCTGCAGGAGACCATGCTAAAATAAGCCCTGCAGCTTGTCCTCAAGACTGGCTGTTGGGGCTGAGTCCAAGTGAAAAAGCCCAACAAAAACCCCAAATCAAACCCTGTAACCTCAGGAAATTTGTGTTGCTGGAGAAACAAATTCAGGGAAGATCTGTGATGCTGTGCTGATTTTACCATGGCGTTAGACATAATACGAAATGTTTGCATTAAATGCAAGGGGAAAGTCCTTTGAAGTACTGGGGGAGCTTTTCTGCTTTAAGCACTCTGGTTCTTTTAGTAGTCAGAATGAGTTAAATTAAAGTTGATGAATGCAATAATATTTAGGACGATGACATCTTGAAATGTTTCTTAATTTTAAGTGTATATTTTGAGCAAATGTTTATACACTGAGGCTCAGGCTGGGGGGTTGAGGCATATTGGATTATATGCTATTTGCTCAGTGTAAGCAGTGGCAATTTATTGCTGCAGATATATGTGATATGGTGCGCAAAGATTATTTCTATTCCCTCTAAAGCATGATTATTTTGGGTCCTCTTTATACCTTAAATAGATATTCTTCTCATGTGATTTCCATCTTTTTGTGTCAACAGCTCAGGCTACAGTTGAAATAAACATTGCATCAGCTTAATAGCACAAGCTCTGAGGAAATCTGCTCTCCATTATGGATGTTGTTTAGAAACCTTTTCATTTGACATTTTTCCAGTGTTCAGTGCAAATATCCTATGACTCCCAAAGTCTGCTGGGCTTCACTGGATTTGCCTGGTACAGAACAATGTAATTTCTTAACACTGATGGGTCCTGTTCCCAGCAGTGTGGCTTGGTGTGTTTTAGATCATAGAATCCTAGAATGGTTTAGGTTGGAAGGGACCTTAAAGACTCTCTTCAAAGAAAACTTTAGGAAAAGGAATGACTTTGATTTTGTTGATTTAGTAGGCTGGAGTCAGCCAGGGTTTCATCCCCTTACAGGCCATTTGCTTCAGAGCTGGACCTGATCGCTGTGGGTCCCTTCCACTCTGGTTCTGTGACAGGGTGGTGTGCCTGGTGAACGTGGTGCGTCTGTGCTCATGGTTGGTTTGAATAGCTCAGTCAGACGTGGCTATTGGAAACCTCTTGATTGAGCCCTTTTACTCCTCTCATACAGCATCATCATGACAACAGAAAAGAGCCCAGCAGCCAACGCTGACAACTCGGAACAGCAGCAAGCCAAGGAGGAGGAAGGAGCTGCTGAAACAAAGAAGCAAAAGGCTTCCCTGGAGGAAGGGGCTCAGCCAACACCAGAGAGGCAGCCCCAGAGGCAGAAGTCCTCCAACGGAGACACCCCCACACACGAGGAGCAGGGCAAGAAAGAGCGTCGCACCTCTGAGGGCCGCGGTTTCTCCCGCCTCTTTTCCTCCTTCCTCAGGAGGCCCAAGTCTCAGGTATCTGAAGAGGACAAAGACACTGATGCTCCTAAAGAGGCGGGAGGTGACCAGAAAGATGCAGGATTAGGAGTCGGCCCTGATGAAGATATCCTGGTGAAAGCCCCTATTGCAGCTCCTGAGCCCGAGCTTAAAACTGACCCATCGCTGGATCTCCATTCCTTGAGCAGTGCAGAAACACAGGTAAAACATGCCATTCTGTGGGGCGTGCTCCCTGCTGCGTTAAAATGTGTCTTTGTAGCCAGAACTATAACAACTTCATATCCCAGGCTGGTGAACTTGACCAGAAAAGGTTATGAAATGCCAAAAAGGCTCTTGTTAGCTCCCTGTGTTTCATTGTGTACTTCCCACTCTTGCATCCCTGCATCAGACCTGCAGAGTACCTGTTCTGGGAGTTAGGGTCACACACATGTAATTTAAAATGCCCCGTGCTAAATCATTGCTCTGCGGAGGCTTGGGATGTCACTTCAGAACACAGAGGGTTCACGTTCATTGAGTCCAAAACCAGGGCTGATCGTCAGGATGTCCTTGGTGTGAGCAGGATCAAGGCAAATCAGTGGCCCAAGGTGGACATTGCAAGAGTATTTGGATTTGGGAATGGGTTTCTTCAACTTCAAGGAGCACAAGTACGGCATTTTAGGACTTGGTCATCTGCTGCGTCTGGGCTAGTGCTGAGCCTGCCAAATATAAATATTTTCTGCTTATGCATCATGTAGACAGAGATTTCTGCATGGCACATACACTGAACCCAGTTCCTGGGATGTGTCTGATGTCTGCTCTTTCCGGCCAGGGTCAGTTTTCATGCAAAATTTAAAGTTTAAAAATCTAAAGTAGAAATTGAGGCAGAGACACCTCAGGGCACATTGACTGAGCTGTGGATGGTTATTGATACGGAGGTGCTGGTGCCCTCTCTTCCTTCTTGGGTAGTTACAGCTCTACTATTACTTGAACCTGAAGTGGAAAAAGGTGGGTATTCCTTCTCCTCAGTTGGGAATTTCTTACATCCCAACCAACCTGTGTGTATTGCTGAAGCCAGACAGGGTGTAATCTGGATTTCTTACCCACTGCCTTAAGTTCACAGTGGCTCCAGATACCCACAAATGCTGTTTTGGAGCAATACTTTACAAATTCAAGCATTGCCAGTAGGCAATAATTGTAAATCCACCTCCTTAATATGACAAAGTTGTAGAGAGGGTAGTAGGTAACAGCTTTTCCTTTCTTTTCCCAAATTTCTGAGTCTGTGAAGACCATGGGGTGATCTCTGCTCATGTTTTATACCTCTGAGGGTTGGAATTAGCAGGATGGGGAAGAGGTGGAGATCTTCAGGCAATTTCAGCCGAGAAATTGTATTTTCAAGAGGAATTTGTTCTTGGAAGTGTTAAAGGCCAGGCTGCATGCATCTTGGAGCAACATGGACTCTCTATTTATCTCTCATTTGCTGGTCCTGAGCCCATGTGAATTTGCACCCCAGCCTTTCTTCATGGGTCATTCATTTTAGATGACACATTTGTGTCTTTTTTAGTTCTCATTTTAGATCACTGTCAGTGCCTTTCTGAACTGTGACACTCGGCAGATATTTTCTGCAATGAAAGCATTTGTGAGGTGCTGCACTTTGATAAATGCTGACCGATGGGCATTAGGAGCTTTGACTGATTCCCTGCTCCCAATTGTCCCAGTTCTGCTGGAACAGAAGTCAGCAGCTTTTAGACATTATTTAAATACCTCTGTGCACTTGTGCCTGGGTGTGATTTCATGAGATGTGATGGGCTGAACAGACAAGGTTTTGCTCTTCCTCTGCTGCAGCTCTTTGCTCCTGCTGCATCCAGCCCCTTCCAGCATCATCACAGCCTGCCGTGAACTCGTTTAACCTGCTGAAGTGGCAGAGGAAAAAGAAAATAAACAGCTTCCTTCCTCCTCCTGTCCCCAAACTGCATATCTTTCTGCTATTTGAGTGGATTAAACTGGCTTGCAAGTGCCTTCCATAGGCAAAGAGGATGGTGGTGTGGAGGCTGCCTTCCCTTTTTGGTGACAGAGGACTGCTCGGTCAGCTCCAATGGCCATGAAGCCTCAGCCCTGACTCTCCTTTTAGTGCCACTGCTACCATAAAATCCCACAATGGTTGGGTTGGAAGGGACCTTAAAGCGCATGTCATCCCACCCCCTGCCATGGGCAGGGATACCTTCCACTATCCCAGGGTGCTCCAAGCCCCATGCAGCCTGGTCTTGGACACTGCCAGGGATCCAGGGGCAGCCACAGCTGCTCTGGGCACCTGTGCCAGAGCCTCCCCACCCTCATGGGAAGAATCTCTTCCCAATATCCCATCTGGCCTCTGTCAGTTTAAAACAATTCTCCCTTGCCATGCCAAAGGCCAGTGCACTGGAACAACAGCTATGCCAGAGTGGCAGTGGGAGCACTGGGGTTTCTGCCTGGGAGGGAAAAAACCTCCTGAGTCCAGAAGATGCTGTCACTAACACCATGAATGCATGATGTAATCTGCCCTGATTTCTCTAATCAACCCTTACTTATTTTTTATTACATCATTTACAAAATGAAAACTTGAAAATACTTGGAAGAGTTTTAAAAATTAATACCATTCCCTTGGTCACCCCAGTTGCTGCTCCAGATCCTGGGTTACAGGTTAAATTGGGATAATGAATTCTGAGTGAGCTCCAAGCCCTGCAGTGCTTGTTCCATGTGATGCTTTTTTGTGTGTTTGACACCTCTAAATTGGGGGTTTCAGCCTGCTCAAGAGGAGAGGAGGGACGACCAGGAGCCGGAGAGAAGAGACTTCGAGGACAGGGAAGAAGGGGAAGCAAAGGAAGAGGGTGCCAAGCCAGAACTGAAGCCAGAGTCTCTGGAGACGAGAGCGGACAAGGATTTGAAAGCTGCCCAAAAAGTAGTGAAAAGACACAGAAGCATGTACTGCAAAGTTGTCTTGCTGGATGACACCATTTTTGAGTGTTCTATGGATGTAAGTACTTTGGGAGTTTGGTTCTGCTTCTCTCTTCCCTCTCCCTTCTGCTTCTCTTGAAAAATCACCACAAACACGATTTAATAGGGGCCTAATGTGCTGCCAGGGAATTACAAGACAGGTTTTACTGCAGAGTAAGCCTGCTGTAAGCTATAACAACTTATTTACTGTGTTGTAAAAACCCCTGGGTACTAGTAATCTTTATTTTATTGTTCTACAATTCCAGGGTGCCTTACTTTATAAAGGTGGGGGAAGTTTAAAAAAAAAAAAAAAAACAAACCCAAACTTTATATTACTAGTTCTTCATGATTTCTCATTTGTATCCCAGAGTTTTTGGGGTAGGTTGCAATTGTCTAAATAACTTTTGCCTTCTTGACTTTGAATAAAATGTGTTGTATAAAATTGATTTGTGCTTTTCTAGTCCCCCAGGGTACCTCTACCTCTCAGGCTGCTGGTTCACTTAGCTCCTTGTGCTTGGATGTAAAGAAAAACACACTGTGTTTAGCCTGCAGTTGAATATATTTCCAGTAAACAATTTAAAATTATGTTGACTTAGAGCACTGTAACCCTCCTAATTTGAGAGCTTTTTTCCTCCTTTATTTTGTGTATTCTCTCACAGGGCTGTGATGCTGTCAGGGCAATAAAAAGCAAACAGAAATCCCTATTTTAATATCAAAATACTTGTCTGGAATAATAATAATCTGGTACTTACTATTGGAACATACTTCCACCAGCTTGTTTTCCCTCAGTCCTGCTGGTAAATGGGCCAGGAGAGGATATGTGGGCACAGGGCTCCTTGTGGGAACAATCACCTTGGGTGATCCTGGGCAAGTAGGTCAGTGCTGAGTGTTTGTGTAATGGTGGCGCTGCTGGTACCGCCTGGGATCAGCTCAGAGCATCACTGCCCCCATCATCTTCCCCTTGGCCAGGGAGACTGTGTGCAGCCCCGAGGAACCTCTTCCCCAAATCCCAGTGACAGCTTGCTGTGGCTTTGTGCCTTAGTTTGCTGCAGTGATGCCTTTGGATACCATCATGGACACTGTTGGAGGGAGAGCCATGGAGAGTTGGCAAGAGCCTGACTTGAGCAGGACATGACAAATGTCTCTCTGTAGGTCCAGAGTGTTGTGATGGACACTGCAGAGGATTAGGGGGGGGCAGCCACCGTGTCAGTGAAACTCTTAACTTGAGAAGCACCCTTGGCTTTTACACAGTGCCAGTGTAATTCTGCTCTGGTGGTTTGAGAGTTTATTAAGATTTAATTGTGAAGGAATTGCAAAGGTGTAGGCAAAGAGCAGCACAAATTCAAGGAGAATTAGTGTTTTCAGGCATCCTTTCCGACTGACAGCCCTGGAAGCTTTTTCGTTCCTATATTAGTGCCAATTCCTTGAGGATACTCAGGCTAACACATACATTATGTTACTTATAGAGTCACAATGTGTGCACAAAGGACCTGACAGCTGAAAGGCTGAAATAAAGCCAAGGAATAAAACAAGGCAGGGGTCTTGGAGCAGTTACCATGCAGAGATGCCTGACGGGAGAGCTGCAGGCTTTAGTGAAGCTCATTTTGCGTCACTGGAACTGCACTTTCTTCTAGCAAAGCCGCCAATGGAATGAGCTGCTTCTGGTTGCCATAGTTTTACGCCTCAGGGATGTTTTCCTTCATGCTTTTGGACTAAAAGGGTGTCTGTTCCTTGGCCAGTTCACTTCTGCAGGATTTGGGGAAGAGAAAAAGAGGAAATAGGAATGCTTAAAGTGCGTTTCTGGAGGTAGGAAGCTGTGTGCTGAGCAGCTTTGGGCACGTAAGGCAGATGGGAGAAGCTGGTTGTCATCAGCAGAGCAGGGTGATATAAAGGCCATGGAAATCATGGGCTTTGTTTTTTTCTGAAAGTCAGGTTGTCCCTGAAATGAATAGGTTGTAGCAGCAATTTCATCTCTTGATCCACACCTGAATCTGGGAGATACCAGAATTGTAGATGTACCTTGGAAGGGAAAACCTGTACAGATCCTTAATGTCTATTAAGCTGTGTTGGAAAGTTCAGCTTTGGGGGATTTTCAGACATGGAGCTGGTGGGAAGAGAGAGACCCACTGTGGTTCTTGTTGCCTCCATGGAATTTTTATGTCTGGTTGCCTTACTGATAGTGCACTGTGCGGTTTGATCCTATTCCCTTCTTCCCGTCTCCTGTGAACAAAGACAGGCAAAACCCAGCCCTGTCCTACAGGATTTCTTTGTCCGTTTGCAGAAACACGCCAAGGGACAGGATCTACTTAAAAAAGTCTGTGACCACCTCAATCTGCTGGAAGAAGACTACTTTGGTTTGGCCACATGGGACACACCAACCTCCAGGGTAAGCAGCTGCTGGTCCCAAGGGGATTCAGCTCTTTCTGCATCATCTCGCCAGGGCAGGAAGTGGGGCAGAAGCTTCTCTGCAAACTTATTTTGGTGTCCTCCCTTAATATGGATTGCAGGTCATGACACAGGAAGAAATGGTGAATAAATTACTACAGGAGTGTGGATTTTTGTCAAAAAACTATGTGAATCATAGAATGAATCCTAGTGAACTTGGGTCTTTACCTGGAGAAAAGTAATTTTATTTGTTCACTGCAAAATAATGTCATTAAGTTATAGAGCTGAAGGAGTCAGGCTACCCTGGCACTGGTGTCAGCATTAGGAAGGTTTGGTTGGAGCTGTCCAGAGCATTTGGAGTTGAGCCTTTGCCCTGCAGAAGAACAGATGTGACTATACCAAAGCTTCTACTCATGGTTTCAATTTAAGGTCTGTCTTTGATTTGACTCAAGCAGTGTCTTATCTTTTGAGACCTTGGTTACTGTCTAACTCAACAATTACTCAAGTCTATTTCATAAAGCCAAAAGTGAGGTAATTGAAATTAACAGCCCGATTCTGTGTGCTTTAGACCAGTTATGTTGGTCCATATTCTGACTCTTCCTCTGCTTCACCTTCAACAATCCTCTGTGGCCAGGTTACTGACTGAGAGATGTGTGTCATTAAATACTTTATATTATTTTATACAGAGGCAAAATAACAACCAAAAATAACACTATTTGACACAGGCAGAACTCCTACTTTGTTTTACAGTCTCTGATGTCTTCCAGTTTTCTTGGATGTGAAATGTGTTTCCATGTATATAACCTGGATATTTTTTATATCAGAGGATTTTTTTAAATCAGAGTTTGTTTTGCAGAGGGAGGGGTAGGTGTACTTTTAGATCAAATTGAGAGCAAAAAGAGTGTAGCTGGAGCAGCTCAGCTTCTGCATGTGCTGTGGGCAGCTCACTGCTGCATTTGCATATTAGGAAAATTTCCTTCCCGGAAGGGGTTGTCAAGCCTTTGGCACAGGCCACCCTGGGAAGTGGTGGAATGTCCCTGGATCAAAAAGCTTATAGATGTGGCACTTGCAGACACTGCATAGTGCTAAAACTTGGCAGTACTGGACTAATGATTTGATTTGATTAGAGGGCTTTTCCTAAATGATTCTGTGGTCTCCCAGACCCTCAGACTTGCTCTTCTCATGTCTAGGCTTTTGGCATTGATTCTTCTGAAAGCATGTACCTTCTCCCCCTAACCAACAAGGGCTGAGAGGTTGTGCAGCTTTTTAACTGTAGGGAGTGAAAACTGATTGTTTTCTCAGATCTGTGTCCCAGAGCTGGAAGCTGGGGCAGATGAGGTTGTTCAGCTCCAGTGTGGAGAAAGCTGGTTTGGTTTGCTCTGATGGGTGAAAACACCTTTTTTTTTTTTTTTTTTTTTTTTAATATTTCTGGTTATGTTTCATTGAACTTTGAAATCTGAAGCTCTCCTGCTGTAACTTCCAACAAGACCTTCCCCAGAGTTACTGATTCACAGGTAAAATGGTGTTAATAGGATCCAAGGATGGGCTATTGCACCTCACCTGCAGTTGTGTAGAGCAGGCGGAGATACACATATATATTCCTGGATACGGAAGGGTTGTATGTGACATTTTCCACCTTGATATTCAGGGAATAAACTTTCTGAGGATCAGTAATTACCCACATGGGCATAGCAGAGGGGGACAGTGGATTAGGAGGTTGTGACAGTGGCTGGATCAGCTGGGCACCATGGAGCAACAAGGAGCTCATTGCCCTGAAAAGGAGGCTTGTTTGCCACTGATTCATGACCCAGTGGGATAAAAGTGCTGTTAATTGCTGTTCCCATCATTGTTGGCTGGATCAGGCGGGATGGGATCCATGACTGCACCCTGGGCTCACCCCAGTAATGAGCAGCTGTGGCACCAGCTTAGCCATGGAGATGCTGTGCTCCAAGCTGTGGCCCTAAAAAGGCAGCAAATCTTCCTTTCAAATGGATTTTGTATCCCCACTTTTATATGTTAGAGTAGGCATATAAAAAGAGGAGATTAAATGTAAGTATTACTGTTTCCCTGCCATGAAGTTACTTGTCCTTCTGGTCAGGAGGGATTAGCTTGGGGGATTCAATGAGTTAATTCCTTCACCTCAGGAGACCTGGATGTCCAAATCCTATTCAGACCTGGTGAAAATGAAGAGGTGTTTAAATGTAACCTCTGCAGGAGGGTTGCTAGCCCAGTGCCAGCGCCTGCAGCAGGACAGGCCCTGACTCCTGAAAATGGAAAGGCTTAGACCATGGAAAAAACGGGAATTGTGTTTTGAGGTTTAAATTGCACCACCATCCTGCAAAACCCCAAATTACAGAGGAGGAGGAAAAAAAGATCTATTTCTAAATTTGTAGCAGAGATAATACTAGAAACTTGAGTCATAGTTAAAAGACATGAAGTTTATGTCACACGCCTCTAAAAAATTCCAGCCTTACTCAGGAATTGGATGTTTTTATTTGTATTTCAGCAATTAGGTCATTGAAAACTATAGCTAATAATAGAAAGTCATGGTGATCTTTGATCTGAATAGGGTAAGTAAGGAGACAAGGTTTCTTAAAATTAATGTATCTGTCCTATTTACCTATTTTTAAGGGTTCTGGAGAATAAAAAAGGTGTTGTACAAGTGCCCCTGATAGCTGGTTGTGGCTGTGGCCATACCTGTTACTCTGTTCTTGCAGCCCTAAATAATCTGCTTTTTTGGTGTTTTTTCCCTCTTGTTACTCCTGCCTCCCTTATGAGTCCCTGGTAGGTGAATGGTTGGAAATACACCCACGGAGACCACAGCCTGGAGTGAAAGTAGTGAAGAATGCACCATCTCGTCGGTTTCCATGGTTGCCTTTGTGTCAAATATTTTCCTTTCTTTTTCTTCCTGTATTTTTAGCAATTTTCAGCTTTCTGTGGTGTTTCTGGAATGTCTGGTAAACTGTGAATGTTTTTATCCTGTTACAGACATGGCTGGATCCTGCCAAAGAAGTAAAAAAGCAGGTTCATGGTAAGTAGATGTAATTTATCGTTTGTAGGGGGGTGTTGTTTCTCCCCATGTGGCTCCGGTGAGCCATCCAGGGGCCCAGGGATGGAGAGAGGTCAAGTGAGGGTGGCTGGCAGGGATCAGCACAAGTTCAAGCAGTCTGTGCATTCTTTCTGTTCTTCTTAAGATCTTCTTAATGTAGATTTAGAAAAAAATGTCATTTCCTTGCAAAACAGCTTGACTTTTGTTTGCCTGAAGGAAAGCCACACTGTCAGTGCAGTGCTGAAATGGGGATGTACTTCTTGCTGGAGGATGGGAAAATGGGTGTCAGTGGGAGCCACTGAAATCCCAAAGGAGATTGTGAGACCCCAGGCAGGATTTTATGCTGGAACAAGGTTTATGGACTGTGAGGCTGTTTTGGGCTCCAAATAGGGGCGCTGGAATGATAAATGGCTTGAGAAGTATCAACTCAAATGTCAGATGTTCTTTCAAGTTGTGTTTTAAGGTCTGCTAGCACTGAATTAGTTCAAGATGAGGGCAGTGTCAAAATTAAATATGTTTTAGAGGCTTTTGTTTTCTCTTGGGAACAAGTCTGACTGCTTTAGAAGTTTTGGGAAGGAAATTACTGGTTTTTGGATCCTTTTGGTGGGAGGCCGAGGACAAAGTGTGTCATCAAATGCAGATTTGGGGGGCAGTGCAAGGCTGTGGAGTAGGGAAAGCTCCTGGTCTTGCCATCTTCTCTTGGAATCAGTAGCAGGGTGCATGTGAAGGGCAGGAGCTGCTCCATCCATAAAATTCATCCAGTGCATGTAATGAACAGCAGCCTGCTGTGAATTCTGGTCCTATGGGGATGGGTTAAATTACTTGATTTTACTTGAAGTGAAGGTATTTTGCATATACGTACAAATGTGTGGACACCAGTGTGTGGTGGTTTTAGGTAACCTCTGCTCCCTTCATTGTCACCTTGGAATCACTTGTTTTGAACTGTGTGTGATGGAAACAACGTACCTTGTGTTTAATCCCAGTTATGGCATTGCATAAGAAGTAAATCCAGGAATGCTCTATTCCCCCTGTTGCCTGTGTGAGATTGGAATAAACCTCTGAGTGAGTTAAATGCTGGGGTAGATCTTCTCTTTCTGAAATAAATCTTATTTTGAACTAGTGTTAAAGGGCACAGCAGGGGGAGATGTAACTATGGAAATCACTCCGGACTAACTTCTACTGGGAAATGGGATTCTTTTCAAGGAAAAGAGAGAGCTACCTCTTCAGCTGTGTCATCTGGGCTGTCCATACCACATACTGTGCCAATTCTATGTGTGTTTATGTGAATTCTGACTTAGTTCATGCCTGTAATGGTGCTATACAAGGTTTGCAACAAGGTGTATTTAAGCAATTAGGTCTGGACATGAAAAGCTCTTCTTATCCTTGTGCTTTCTGTCTTCATCCAGAGCTTGATGCTTGTGTTGGGCTAAGTTTAAGCTGTGTCCGAGCAGCTGATCCCAGTGCATTCGGCTGAGGAAAGACTTAGCACAGCCTTCCCTGAACTTTGAAATTTGGGTTAAGCAGTAAACCAATCCATTCCATTGATCAACCAACCAATTCATTAATTTATAGCCTATGCCTGACCTATCTTGATGAATCCCTTTTCAGTCAATGGAAAAACATGTCAGTCATTGAGCTTCTTAGCAATTAATTTAATTTTTGCCACAAGTTGTGGTTAATCCAGGTGATTTTCCCTGACTTGCTTTTTTTCCTTCTGCTTTTCTTACCTGCTGTAAATGAAATCACATCTTATACTTACACAGGTGTTAAGCTGCAGCCAGCTGTGAGAGCAAGCAGTAGCAAATCAGTGTTGCATCTGCTAAATTCTGAGATCAGATTGGCTATTCTTAGCTCTTTTTTATATCAACTGACCATCACAAAGCTGTCCCAGTGTGTTTATTTCTCTCAAGTTCTCTCTTATCATTGCAGGAGGCCCCTGGGATTTTACCTTCAATGTCAAGTTTTATCCGCCAGATCCTGCCCAGCTAACAGAGGACATCACCAGGTGAGTTACCTGGGGATCCTACTGCCATGTTCTCTTGGATATGGAATAGAAATGTTTCATATTTCCCTTCAGGAAGGAGATCAGATGCCTTCACCATTTGGAGAGGGTTTGGTTTGCTTTTAGTGGATGTGAGGATTCTCCCACACTCCACTAGAGTCCATGTGTAAAGCAATGTCATTTATAACTCTGCCATATGCATGTTCATATAGAAAAGTAAATTCTTACCTAAACCCAAGATTTTCTGGTAATAGTGTTCTTTACTCCCTTTGCAGAGTGGAGGTTACCTTGAATCCCCCAGTCCTCCACGCTGTTTACCTTGGAAATGAGTAAAAATTGGAAACAAGCATTGTCATATGTTCATCAGTGGCATAAAGAAAGAGACTGATCCTCAAGTTAATAACTTCCTCTCTGTTCTCTGTGAATCGTATTTTCATTTCTGCCCTCAGATATTACCTGTGTCTGCAGCTTAGACAGGACATCCTTACAGGGCGGCTTCCCTGCTCCTTTGCCACCTTGGCTCTGCTGGGTTCCTACACGGTCCAGTCAGAGTTGGGAGACTATGATCCTGATCTCCATGGCCCAGATTACATCAGTGAATTCAAACTGGCCCCAAACCAGACAAAAGAGCTTGAAGAAAAGGTTGTGGAGCTTCATAAAACATATAGGTAAGGTGCGGTGGCTGGAGGACTTGTTTGTGCACAGCAGCATGAAATTGGGGAAGTAATGGGATTTTCTGGTGTTTTCCCCACCTCTGTGAGATACAGAAAAGCTGTGGATGTCCTATTGATGGAAGTGTTCAAGGCTATGTTGGATGGAGTGTGGAGCAACCTGGGATAGTGGAAGATGTCATTGCTTATGGCAAGGGGTGGAATGAGATGATCTTTGAGGGCTCTCCCAATCTGAAATGAATGGGGTACATGCCTTTATTAGTGTTCAGCTCTTAACCAAAGGGTGAGAAGGCTGCAGAGTCTGTCCCTGGAGTCTCCATGGCACACTGGTAGCCGGAGGTGAAGGTGAAGAGGTGTGCAGTCCGTATCTGAAGTCCGAATCAGCAGACAGTCCTCTCTCCTTCCCTCCTGGCACACTGGTAGCCGCAGGGTGAGGGGATGTGCAGAGCCTGCTGCCGAAGTCCAGCAGCAGCTCTCCCTCTCCTTCCCTCCTGGTAACACCAGGAAGTGTGTGTACTTTGCTCCTGCTTCCCACAGCCCAGTCCAGTCTGATCCTCTGTAGGTTACGGTGACAGGTCAAACACAGACTAGGGATGGGGTTCCCTTTTCCCCAACGAGCACACCCATCCAGCCCCCTCCACTGTGCCCATCTTTTCCATTTAGGGGTGTTTTTTTTATCCCCAAAACCCCCTCCCGTGATTCCACTGAATTATTTTGCATCCCGGTCCTAGTGTGGGTGGGGTTGTAGGTGATTCCCAGGAGCAATTAGCTAATTAACATTTCAATGTCAGTACTTAGCCCAAGCCGAAGTGTCCCAGCAAGGCTGTTTTGTTCATAACAAATCCAGACCATTCTGTGATTTTATGATGACTCTGTGAACATTAACTTTTAACAAAAAATCTAATACTTTGAACAAAATCTTTCTAGAAGCAGGAACTATTTTTTCCTGCATGAAGAAGAAATTATGTTTTTATAAAGCAAATGGGAAGTCTTGCAATTATTTAGTAACAAGTGGTTTTTTTTCTCCACAGAATAGTCATGAAAAAGTGGGGTTTAGTTCATGTGCAAATGTAAAATTTACTTGTTTTAACCTCACCCTTTGCCTTTTTAAAATATATTTCTTTGGGATTTATGTAATTTTGGATTACAGTTTGATCTAGTTTCTCTGTTTACACACTATAGTCTACAGCCTGTTTGGGGCATTCTTCTACCACATTTAGTGAGTAACATTGTGGAAGGATTCCAGGTGATCCAGGAATTAGAAACCTGCAGTTAAGTGTTTCCTAGTGCAGCCATGACCTGGGCAGGTGTGTCTGGTTCAGGTAGGGTTGAACAACTCCTGCGACTCTCCCTGGTATCAGATTCAAGGATAAACCTTGTCCTCATTCTGTTTTGGACATATCTTCCTAGAAAGGAAAAGATGGAGCAAAGACAAAACTTTCTGACAGGCAGATGGGAGCAAAAAAGTGGAGCACATTGGGAAGAGTGGCTGTGGGCTGTGACTGTGACCTCACTCAAGCCTTCAAATCAATATTTTAAATTGATCCCCCTCCATTTACACTGAGAGGAGAGGAAATGAGGGAAAATAAGTACTGGACCTCTGACAAGCTTCATGACTTGGAGTCAAAGGCCGTTTGCTGTGCTAGAAGTAGTGGATCACAGTGCTGAATTATTCATGCCCTCATCAGAAAGAGACTTTAATGTATAAGATGTAGTTATATTTAATCTGTCTGCATGTGCAGGAGAAAACAACACGTCCCCATTTAATTTCTAGTCTATATTTTGTGAACATTAAACTTCAGAGGGTTTTCAGTGGGAATCATAGAATCATGGAATTGTTTAGATTATAAAAGACCTTGAAGACCATTGAGTCCAGCCATTACCCAGCACTGCCAAGCCCAGCACTAAACTATGTCTCCAGGTTTAACATCCATATGTTCTTTGGACATTTCCAGGGAAATCTCTGCTAAACCGTGCTCTGGCTCTTGCTACTGTATATGCAAAGCACAAGGCACATATAAAGATAGTGACTGCTCCTGGGGCTTTCTTACAAGATTATCCTTATAGTGGACTTTGCCCTGTCTCCAACCGCTCAAACCTCTATTTACATCACTCACAAGATGTATGTGAGCGCTCATTAAGGAAGACATCAAAGGAGGGTAGAAAATGAAATGTTTGCAGCTGAATCCTCTCCCAGCAGAGCTGTTAATGTACCTCATATACCAGAAATGTACTAACAGGGACACTTCAATAACGTTGATAATGGCCTCTGTTATCAGGATGTCTTTGTTAAATTGTGCCCCTCCTGCAGACAGGGCACCATCTGTTCCCAGAAAGCCCTCCTTCATCTGGTCCCCTGGTTGGAATCTCTGCTGAGTGGTTTCAGCTGTCTGTGTGTTTGGTTGGAGAGCAATAGCTGGGTTTGGGGAGGTCTCGAGGCAGCCAGTCTGCGGGGAATAGGACCTATCACCTCTTGCTCAGTTGGGTTTCTTCTGCTGAATCAAGTTTTGTCCCCTCACTGCTTTTCCTCACTTCCTTCTCTAGTGCCTTTACAGCTTCACAGGAATAAAGTGCAGCCGTGTTACTGGGATGTCTCAAAGCACAAAATGGGGCAGTAAGAGTGATTTCATAATTCATTATCTGGTCACAGATTTGTTCATGTTGAAAGCAAAAGAAAATCTAATGAATTTCATTAAGTCTGATCTGTCTCCTCTTAAAAGCAACAGTTTTAAGAATACCAATCCCTTTCTTTTTCTGCAGATCCATGACTCCAGCCCAAGCAGACCTGGAATTTCTGGAGAATGCAAAAAAACTATCTATGTATGGAGTCGACCTTCACCAAGCCAAGGTGAGAGCCCAGCATGTGTGCACCTACCTGTGGATTTTGTAATTTGATTATCCTTCCCTTGCAGGAGCAAGTTTACCTGTTTTGGGAAGCTCCTTTGGAAAGTGAAGTATGGAAATACAGACATATAACTGGAATGCCTCCGGCATTCCTGCAAGAGAAGTGATTGTGGTTGCTTATTATTTATATGTCACAGGAAACTTTCCGAAGCTCCTCGTATAGATAGGTCTTTGCTCTGAGTAATTTAGAATAAATATATATTCCCTGCCACATGAGCCTCTGTGCTCCAGGAAATGCAGGATGGGCTCTTGATGAGCCCTTTGGGCAACCATCAGAACAGGAGAGATCAGGAGGAGGGAGGAGGTTGTCAGGAAAAGTGTGAAAGAAGAGTGGCTTTGGAGCTGGGAGCTGGAATCTGGGTGGTGAGGAGATGAATTTATGGGAAGACCAGAGGGATAATTTAGAAGGCAGCTGTTGACATGAAGCTCATAAAGCTGACACTGCTTAAATCCTCATCTGCATTCCCAGGACTTGGAAGGAGTGGATATCACTCTGGGAGTCTGTTCCAGTGGACTTCTTGTTTACAAAGATAAACTGAGAATCAATCGCTTCCCATGGCCCAAAGTCCTGAAGATTTCCTACAAACGCAGCAGCTTCTTCATAAAGATTCGGCCGGGGGAGGTACGACTGGCTCCTGTGGGCTCCTGTCATCCTCTGTTTCCTTGGGATGGTCACTGTGTGTGTCCCTGGAATGGAGCGGGGTGGGGTCAGGCTCTTCTCTGCAGAAACGTTGGACATGGGGGTGTCTGATCCCAGCTGAGGCTCCAAGCCAGCTGCTGACCATGTAACAACGTGTCATCCAGCACCACCTCCTGGCATCACTGGGTATTCCCAGCATCCAGGGAAAGGCCTGGGAGGTTGACAGATGAAATTGGGGCAGAACTAACTCATTTTTTGGAAACGGGGCAAGACAGTGGCTCTTTGTCTTGCTTGCATTCAAAGAAAATAATTAAAAATTAGAATTAGCTTTTCACCTAAGTGCAAGAAGCAGGGAATGCGTGCATTGGTGCTGCCTCTCATGAATGGGGAAATCCCTGGAGCAGCCTGGTTACATCAGGGAGAGAGGCTGCAAAGGGGATCCACCTCTTTCCTCTTCTTCCTCCTTCTCCTGTTTTCACTCCCATGACCCAGCCTTGCAGGGAGGTCAGTGTTTGACCTCAGCCCACAGCTGGGCAGTATGACAGGGGGGATAAATCTACGGCCTGTTGCTCTGCAAATCCCTGTGCATCTTGAGGGATGCCTGGGCTAGTGGCCAGGCCCTCTCTTTCTTCTGACCTGAGGTCCTGCTGCACATTGTGGGGCAAGTTCAGCAGTTTGTGCCACAGTAGACCAGAGTAGTGGGCTGGGGACTGGGCTCCTACCACATATATTTCCTGCTATACCTAAATAACTTACGCTTTCCACAGCAAGAACAGTATGAAAGTACAATTGGGTTCAAGCTACCAAGTTACCGGGCAGCAAAGAAGCTCTGGAAAGTATGTGTTGAACATCACACCTTCTTCAGGTGGGTTTTCTAAACAGTAGCCTCACCCTGAGTAACTTAGTGCTTGAATTTAAGTATTGAAAATGAATATTGTTCCTTAGCTTTTTGGAAAAATGGGAGAGAAATGGTTTCAGGGACGGTAGCTGTTTATTTTGCAGAAAATTTTTAAGCAAGTTCTGTTTTGTAAGACCCATGATTTTTGGGTCATGTAGATGTGAGACATCATCAGTATGTGCATTTCCTTGGCCAAATGGATGAAAGAGAGTCCTTTAATTTCTATTTTAATTCTTCTTCACATGCCCCTTCCTGGCTTTGGAGGTGTGATTTTTAAATGTGTGTGTCTTTCAGGCTGACTTCCACTGAGGCCATCCCGAAGAGCAGGTTCCTGGCGCTGGGCTCCAAATTCCGCTACAGTGGCCGGACACAGGCGCAGACGCGGCAGGCGAGCGCCCTGATCGACCGGCCCGCGCCCCAGTTCGAGCGCACAGCCAGCAAGAGAGTGTCCAGGAGCCTCGATGGAGGTGAGTCAGTCCCTGCTGTGTCTTCTCTCTCCCTTCTGGAGTCACCAGGATGCTGAAGTACTCCTTAAGGAACACCTGGATACCCTGCTGTACCAAAATGCAGGTGTAACTTGTCGGTGTAGGACAAGACCTTGTTCCTGCCCCTTACATGTTTGGGAATTATGTGCCTGTAGTGAGACTGAATTGGTGCTCAGTTGGTTAGAGCAGGGTGCTGATAACACCACAGGAATGGGTTTGTTCCCCGTATTGGCCATTCACTTAAGAGTTAGACTATGATCCTCATGGATCCCTTCCAACTCAAAGTATTCTGTAATTCTCTGATTCTGAGTTGGACTTGATGATCCTTGTGGGTCCCTTCCAACTCAGAAAATTCTGATTCATCACACAACCTTCATTCACATACACAAAACCACCCAACCAAACCAAAAATTCCCCCAACACAGAATAAAAGTGGATGATTTGCACCTAATCCACCCCTTTTCCCTTCACAATTACAACAAGAGTTCCCCGTGATCATTCTGCTCTCTAACATTGCTCAGTACTTTTGCCCAATACCTCTCCCAGTTTTTATCCTTCTCTCAATATCACAGCACTGTGAGGGCTGTTATGGGTAAATGAACTCCATCTCAGCCAGACCCAATACAAAAATGCAAACCAAGGCTGGTCCCAGCAGAACTGACTGATGAAAAGAATTTAGGTAGGTGCTGAAGACTTATGGCTAAGTTCTGCTTGTAAAGATATTTCTTCATTTGATCTCAAAGCATTTTCCTTCGGAAAATTAGAAATTAAGCCATTCTGTTTGTTTTGATTAATGTGACTTCTTAAATTCTGTAGTTTTACATGAGGAGGAGATTTTTTGCCATGATAGAAACTTTTTCAATGTCTCTTAAAGCGATGCTCAGGTCGGAGTTGAGATAGGCTCATCTTTGAGATTTTTAAAAGAAATTGATAGCAGCAGAGGAGGTGAGGCATGGAAAAGGGAGTGCCTAAGTTTGGTCCATGTCATCTGTATCACAGGGTATTAAGATCCAGGGAAAGAGGGGCATCCCTGTGCACCACAGAGACCTGCCTGATGGAGCAAGGGCCGTGTTGCTTTATCCCTCAGTTTGTGCTGCAGCCTGGGGGGACCAGGGCTGTTCAGCATCCCATGGCCATCAGCAGCTAGGCTGTCCCTGCTTCTGGGCTCAGTGACCTCCTGAGCCTGGGTTTTATGTCGTGGAGCTGGAGGGAAGGGATGGTTCAAACTCCATAAGGCAGCAAAGCCAAATTCCAGCTTTGGAGTTCTGGGCATGTGCGATTCCTCAGGCACAGTGCGCAGCAGCAAGGGAACCAGTGCTGCTGGTTGCCTGTTGACCATGTCATTATGACTCCAGTTGGGTAGAGAAATTGCAGCTTCAGTGCTACACCTGAATGTAGGAGCTGGTAGAAGAGCAGCCTGGGAATGTGACACTCCTGCCCCCTTGACATCTGTGCCTTTGCCATGCGGGCGGTCGTTAACATGTGCCCCGTTTCTTCAGCTAAACGTGCGACTCAAAAGATTGAGTTCAGAACCATAGAGGAGGAGAAGCAGAAGGAGGTGGTGGTGGTTGAGGTTCCTGAACCAAAACCTGCGGATCAGATCCGAGAGAAGCCAGGTATAGCTGTGGTGGTGTCTAAAACTCTCTGCAGTGCCTTTCCTATCCTCTTTACATGCTTGTTCCTGACAATTTCCAATTTTCACCAAATCTGGTGGCTTTCTCTCTTCATTTCTTTGCAAGAAGAGTTTCCCAGTAAGAGGAGACACAGCCCAGTTCTGGAAGACTCCTTAAATTTCCATCTTGCACCTTATTAGACTTCAATTCCTGTGGGGCGGTGGGGAAAAGATTAGGATGTGCTGGCACTTGAGAACTCTCTTGTTAAATGTGGGTAGTTTTGTATATATGGATTTGAAAACTTAAAAGTTTTCAAGTTTTGATCGTGAAACTTCTCATGAAGTTTCTGAAATTCTTCATCCCAGAACCTCCTTGCCATTTTGGGTTGGGTTTTTTTTTGGTGTTTGAGAAATGCTATCCATTTTGCTCTGTGGAGCTTATATTTCTCTTAGAATAGGTATTTTTAATAAATATCAATGTCCTTAAGAGGTGTGTAGGTACAACAGCACATTTGAATACTCATAAGCGTATCACAGCAGCGGTGTTGCAACTATTTGCAGTCTTCATCACTTGGATAGTGACCACCTGTGGTGTATTAGGGCTGGAGATAATTCACATGCAAATGCTTTGGGTATTCTCCTACCACCCAGAATTTTTTGACTGCATTACTGCTTTTGACTGCATGACTGCTTTTCTAGTATGTAGATCAAGTTTTCACGAAGTGTGACAAACTTCCTCTCCGTGGGCATTCCTTGAATCCTCACTAATCAGCGTCTCCTGGTGGGGAAAGGCCGATGCTGTAAAAGGAGAAGGTGGGGAATTTCAGACACCAGGGCAGATTTGAAGTTGATCACTCAAGTATATTTAATTAATGCTGATAGGTTTCTAGCTTCTTTGACTGGATGTGTTTTTCCTGGATTTTGCCAGCCAGCACCTGTTTACCTCCAGACTTAGCAGGCAGAGCCCTTCCTAGTTCCATACTCGAGAACTGTTCACGTGTGCCACATCTCCTTTCCTGGGCAAGGAGCCCATAAATCTTATCTTTGTGTTCTTTCCTCCTCTCATCCAATACACTGCTGGGTCTGACAGCCCTAAAAGGACTGACACACAGTTCCATTGTGGAAAATGACTATTGAACTGCCTGCAAACTTCCTTGCTGTTCCCAGCTACTGAGAAGGATCTCCTCACTTCTTGCTCTGGTGACCATTGTGTGTTTGTGTGGGTCCCCAACCCCCATTAACACCTGCAAACCTCTTTTTAGCCAAACACACTCTTGAAACTTTTGAAATGAAACCCATTGCAGAGGAGGAAGAGGAGGAGGAAGCGGTAGAGGTCGTTAAGGTTCCTGTTGTCAAGCCAAAGTCAGTGGAGCTGGTGCAGCCATGGTCAGGTACAGCTGCAGTGGTGTTTGGTGGCAGTGGCTCCTGTGCTGTTGTTACTGGGGTGAAGTGATGCAGTGCTGTAGGACAGAGGTTACACTGGTTGTGGTGGTGTTTAGTTGGCACTAAAATCACTCCTGGCTTTGCCGTGTGCTGCTTTTCAGGTGTAGTGAGGGGGTGCCATGCCCTGGCTGTGTGTGGAAATGAGTGTGCAGTGGCCTCTTAGAGCTCCTTCCATACTGTCCCTTCTTGTGAAGTTTGTTCCCCTGAGCTGCAGGAGTGCACTGAGCTACAGTGCCTGGAAATCAGGTTATGAGATCTGGGACTGCTGAAGGTCAGCTATATTCCACTTTATTTCTTCTCTAGGGAACTGCTACTTGCCTAGTTGGGGAAGGATGTCAGAGCAACATCGCTGCTGCAGACAGATCCATATTAATCATAACTAAAAGTAGAGTTGGTTATTTGTTGCAGGAAGAGGAGATTGAAGCCATAGAGGGAGGTAACTGGGAACATCACATGTTTCCTTGGTTGCTATGAAAACCACTGGAGAACGGTCATGGCCCCAAGGCTGCCAGAGCTCCAGGAACATTTGGACAATGCTTTCAGGCACTGGGTGGGATTGTTGAGATGTTCTGTGCAGGACCAGGAATTGGACTTGATGATCCCTGTGGGTGTCTTCCACCTCAGCAGATTCTGTATTCCACAGGATGCGTGGCAGCAGATCAGACATCAGCTGGTGTCAGACCTGAGCACATCCAAGGCTCTCCCATTGTAGCTGCCCCTTCTCATCCATCTCCTGCACTTTCCCTCATCCTGGCTTCTCTGCTCCCAGTAGGGACTGTTGGTGAGGTGATGGTCATGGTGATGGTGATCAGTCATAGAATTCTGGAATGGTTTGGGTTGCAAGAGACCTTAAAAATCACCCAATTCCAACCTATGTTTTATATCTCAGTGCTTTTTACTGTCTTTAAATCATATGTCAAAATAGCCAAAGGCAGTTAATCATGAAAATGTAACTAAAATACAGTTCTGGCAGCCCAGAACTCATTGTTGGATGGCACAGGAGAAGCTTGGTGTCTGTTACCATTTTTCCTGCATGTCTTGATACTCTGGGAGAGCAGGAAGAGAGATGGCCCTGCAGATTTACTGATGGCAATATTTCCTTTGCTGCTTCCTCTTTAAGGTGGCATTTTAACACATCCATAACTTTTTTAGCCAAACGTGATCTTGGCAGTATTGAGATAAGCCCAATTGAAGAGGAGGAGGAGGAGGGAGAGAAAACCATGGTGGTGAGAGAACTAGAGCCGCTGCCGAAGGAGTCAGGTACCACTGCAGTGACAGCTTTGCACTCCCAGCATCCTCCTCATCCTGGCCGTCCCTGCCATCTCACCTCCGTACAACCTTCCCAGCAGCTGTCACTACTTCTGTGACATGAATACACTCGGACACCGCACTTACTGTCCTTTGAAGAGGATAACACAGTGTCTGGGTCACAGAAATGAACTGCTGTGCCGAGGAGCAGGGAGAGGGTGGAGCTAGCAGTGGTGGGGTGGGTTTTAAGGTTGTTTACAACAGGATGTGATGTCTAGGAGTTTGTCTTGAAAGTGTCATTCCAATCTCTGGAAATTCAGAAATTTAAAAAAATTCTTTTTTTGCCTCCACGTTGTACATTTTTAGCCACATGGATACCTTATTCTCTCTATGTTTTATTAAGACACAGATGAGATGTTGTTACCTTTTCAGTACAACAGGATTTCTTACTGAGGAGTTGCTTGAAATTACAATTTTTATTTTAACAGCAAATTTTCTATGAGTGACCTCATATTGGCTGGAATATGATACACAGTATGGTCCTGCTGCAAACTGTGATTTTAGGAGTGTGAGACCATGTCAAAAGTATTCTTTTATGTGACAGGGTATCTTTTAGTGAAACATCCCTAAAAACCAACATCAGGAGGACCAAATAGCTTATTATATACCTAGGTGCACACAGGAAATGAATTTGGGCTTACTTTGTCACACAGCTTTGGTTTGACTACTTCCTTGGGTTTGGGCAACTACCTGGCAAATCAGGACCTGAAGGAAAAGAGTAGGCAGTTGATTTTGTGTTCACCCAGTGCTTATATTTACAACTCTCATCCTCTGAAAAGATGATTTTTGGCAGCATGCTGTTCATTTCTGCACTGTCACTGGCCTAGAGGCGATGGGTATCTTCCTGCTGTGCTGCCTTGAAGATACCCAGCTCAGACATACAGCCCCAGCCTGCCTTGAAACCCACTGGGAAGTTGCTGAGAAGTTTGCTAGAGCAATGCTTGTTGATTATTTTTTTGAGCGGGGGGTGAAAGCATGTGTTTTTCTTCTGGAAGCCATCTGTTTCTGCGTGAGGAGATGCCCATGAGTACAGAACTCCTCATGCTGTGTCTTTTCTAGTTGCATTGGAATGAAGTCCGTGTCAGTTGTGTGTGAAGGACCCAGAAATTCATGGCAAAATGTCAAAAATAGATTTGCCTTTCTGGTGTGGCTTCTCTGCAGAGTGCAAGCTTGCTTTTGTAAACCATCTGCTATGGGGTTTTATTTGATTTTATTTTAGGCCATAAAGAAAATAATCTCAACTCTCCTGTACTAAATGCACAAGCTGCTTTGCTCAACATCTTTATTTCTTTTCCCTTTTTTTTATCCTCCTCCTCCTTCTCCATTTCTTTTTAAATGACAGCACTGTAATTTGGAAAGACTTTGTGCAGTCCTTTGAAAAGTCACCTGCTCTGAACTGTGTCCCTGTCTGTCTCCCATCCTCAGCAGTGGCTGTGATAACACCAGAGCGGAGTCCCAGGCCCACTTCAGCCCCAGCTATTGCTCAGAACCACCCTGCAGAGCCAGCCCCAGCTAAGTCAAATGTGAAGGACATGGCCACATCTAAAGTAGGGAAGGAAACAGCAAAATCTGATGGGAGACGTGAAGAATATCCACTGGAGAAACCCGAGGAGCCAGTGGATGCCTCAAAGGTAGGTCAGAGCAGAGTCTCTTGGGAAGAGCTGGGCTGGAGCATTGCTCAAGAAAGTCACCTCAAAGCAGCAGCTCTGTCCTGGGAGATGAGGGGTTTATCCCTCATCCCTCAGTGTTGGGTGGGAACAGGCACAGGGGTCTGGGTGCCAGGGGAATCCCAGCTGTGACGTTCCAGGTGGAAGAGGGAACTCCAGGGCACTTGAGTATTGGTGGTTGTAGTCAAAGCAAGTGCAGCCTGCTAGATGGTTAAAAACACTGGCAAGAGTTGCACGTGATCATGGAGCTAGAGTTCAGAGCTCACCCGTGGCCAGACTGTGCCTCGTGATTCCTGGTATGACAGCAGGAGGGAATTGCAGTGAAATCAGTGATAATGGATCTGGTCTGTAGCCCAGTGCCAGAATGTTTTTCAGTATGATAGGCCTTTGCTGGGAGAGCTGGTAATACAGTGACTGCAAACTGGACTAAAACTTCAGTTAGTTTAAAACTTGAAGTTGAAAATGGCACTGGTGAGACCTTGGGGAGTTTATTGTTTATATTCTGTACTTTTAACAGTTATTTGATTTTTCTATAAATGTGTGAGTTCTTTGCTGGGGTTGATACTTGTGTGCTGTTCTAATAAGTCAAAATAATGTGCAAGATTATTGCTGATATTACAGTGTCCTTAATATTCAGCAGATATTACTGACTTATTGAAACCTTGCAGTGATGCAGCAGAAGTGTTTGCCTTGAGACACAGTTTTCACATTACTCCAAAATTTAGCTGTTCTCAGCATTTCTGGAACCACATAATTCTAAACATATCAAACAAGTCAGTCTTGTGTGAGCATCTCCAGGGAAGATTCCTATTAATTAAGGTTTGGAGATGGAGGTGACGAAAGAGCAGTTGCTTAAAAAAAATCCATGGCCTGCATGAACAGTAATTCTTAAATGAAACTGCTGAAGAGAACTTCAGACTGGCACTGTGGGGTGGTAATTCGAGCACAAAGATCCTGCCCTGCTATTCCTGCCCAGCTGCTTCCTCCAATTATGTTACACTGAGAATGAGGAAATTTTACTTCTCCCATCTTACTTATTACAGTTTTTTTTCCTAAATGCTTAAACATTAGATTTTTTTCTCCTTTAAATATAGTTGTGGGAGGAAAATATGGATTTGAACGTACTAAATTTACTGTTTCTCCAATGGAGCTGCATCACTTCTTCTAACACCCACTGATGCTTTTGCCTTCAGAGTATTTGTCAATCTAGTTTCCCTAAAATACTTCCTTTAGAGTGTTAAGACAATCTTGGCTTTCTACTCATGGACAGGAAAGAACCTATTTTGTGGTGTTAGGCTTGGTTTTGTAGCTATGCCTCTTCTTACTGCCTCCTCCACCATAGTGCCTGTGGTATAACCAATAATTTCTGGTTTTGAGAAGGTGTGTGTTAATTTGAGCATGTTGCTTTGTTTGGATTTTTACTGGGAGATCCAGCTGCCAATGCCATTTGAAAACATTGCCTAGTCAAGCTAATGCAAGTGGGAAGCCCTTCTTCAGAAGCACTGGTTTCAAATACAAATAATTCTCAAGCTGGAGGAATTATTTAACATGCTGTTGACTAACAAAGTTATGGGGAGCTGCCATGTTATTAACCCCTGCCCAGGGCTGCATGTTGGTTTTTGCCTGTTCCCCCAGCACTTCAAAACCAACTTTATGCAGCTGTTTTCAGAAACTAAATGGTTTCTTAAAACAAATCTACTAACAAGAAATGTTTTTGCCAATTTATTTCTTAAATGTAGGTGAGGAAAACACACATTGAGGTCACAGTCCCCACCATGAATGGTGCCCAGCCCCAGGTTTGTGCTAATAATTCAGTTTAGGTTGCTCACACTTTTTTTTCCCAAGGTTCAACATAGTTAAATGAACCAACAACTCTTTTTTTCTTTTTTTTTTTTTTTATCTCTGCCCAACACCAGCAGCCTGCAGAAAAAGAGGAAGAGCTGATAAGAATGAGGAAGGTTAGCCATTTTACCCTTTCACTGGCCAAATTTGCCATATCATTCATGCATCTGTAACCTGTTTAAAAAGACAGTGCTCCAATTTCTTCATGGGTTTTGGGCTGGGGTGTTGATTTTCTTTTAAACTACAAAATACTTGATTTGAAAATTAATAGCCTTTTGTCTCATAGACCACCTCATTGCTGAAATTATGCATGTTGAATGTTTAGAAGGAACACATGTTTTGATTTATGAAATTTCTTCTCTGTAACAAATTTAGCTAGAAACTAAATGTAGCCTGCATTGCCGGAAATGCAAAACAAAAATCAGGAGAAAGCTTCTTTGGTATTGATTAAGTAATAGTAATTCAAGATGGGAAAGTGGTTACAGTGCAGTTGCTGTGCACATTGGGACCTTGTAAAAGTCCCCAGTGCGGCCTCAAACTCGGGGGTGGGCCTGCATCTCTCAGGAATATGGTGTGGTGACTCTGCTACCACAGAAAACCAGGAGCTGTCTCTTTGTGGCCAGAGCCAAGGCCCCCTGGGAGCTGTCTCTTTAAAGGACTCATTGCATCTCCCATTCGTCATGAGCCAGACCCCCATTCCCAGCGGAATTTCCACCCCATGCTGCCACAGCGCTGCACTCCCAACGCTGAGTTAACTTTTTAATTTGCCAATTTATTGATCGCACAAGACCAACGTTTTAATTTTTTGTGCTTTTTTTTTGTTTTGTTTTGTTTTCCCCTTTTCTTTCATTTTCACAGAAGAGATCAAAGAGGCTAGATGGTGAAAACATTTATATCAGGCATAGCAATTTAATGTTGGAGGTTTGTATGAACTTGAAGCTTTTTTTGAGTTGCATTTGCTAAAACTTCTGTATCTGCGCTGAACTTCTTCCTCTTCTGCTGCTGCCCTTGTTTTTGCATGCTCTTGCATGAAAGACCTTTTGATTTGATTTGATATTTTAATTATGCTTCTGCATGGTGACAGTAAACATGATGATGTGCAGGCCTTCTTCCTTCTTCCTCTTCTGACTTTCATTCTCTCATACCTCCCCAAAATACATGATTGGCAGTGCTCAGATCTGCTCTGGGACCCACTGGCTGCTCAGGGGGTCATGGATTGTAGTGCTGGGCTCATTGACCAGTTTTTCACTACTTAAAACAAATTTTTTCCTGGGGGAAAAGCCATTCTGTGAAAATACAAAATTCAGGAGAAGCTGTAGTGAAGCTGGGGCAGATTGCCTAGAGCAGCTGTGGTTGCCCTTGGATCCCTGGAAGTGTCCCAAGGCCAGGTTGGATGGGATTTGGAGCAAGCTGGGATAATGGAAGGTGTCCCTGGCCAGGACAGGCGAAGAGTGGGATGGACTTTAAGTTCCCGTCCAACCCAAATCATTCCAGGATTATGTGAAATTGTCACCTCTGTGGTGTCCAGGCCACCACAATGTCAATGTTGCTTCAGGCAGGAGTGATCTTTTTGGATGATGCAGTGGTGTTTGCAGCTTTTCCATCCTCTTCCCAGGCCTTTTTGGCCTTGCAGCACGTCACTACCCTTGGGCCCCATCCTGCCTCAGTGCCAAGTCCCTCTGGATCTGACAGAGAGGCTCAGTGGTCACAGTTGGCTCATCCTTCCATAGTACAGCTCCTCTCTTTGGATTTGAAAGCCCTTTCCACTTGTTTTCACCTAAGCTCAGTCTCAGAACAGACCATGCCAATCATATATTTTATTTTCTTTAATACACTCTGGTATGGGAGATGTTTTGTGGCTTCTGATACTCGGTCCTGTGTTACATGTTCCTACTCAAACTTACAGCACCAGCAGCTTGTAGGGTTTTCCCTAGTGGTATCCCTTGAAAGTGGAGTGTATTAACTGCCTTCTCATCAGAATGTTCAAAGTTTTGCAGCTCCTGTGTGGGTTTCTTGGGGTTTGTTGTTTTTGTTTTGGGTTTTGTTGGGATTTTTTTTGTGGTTTTTTTTTTTTTTTTTGGACTGCTACAACATACAGCTTTGAGTCACAAGTGAAGGGTCTGCACATGATAGGCAGAGTTTGGCCACCGTTGGAGCGCTCTGAAGACCGTGCCTGTTGCTTTTTCACCTAATTCAAACAGCTCCAATTCCCCAGCCCCAAACACAGCTTTGTAATTGCTTCTAACTTATTTTTTCCCCTCCGTGCAATACTTGCCTCCAAGCCCTTTCCCTCTCCACTTCATGTCCCACAGTTCTGTTGCAGGTACTCCAGCCCTCCCCTACAATAGGGCTGACCCAGCAGCTCACCCCCTTTTTTCCCTTTATTTTTTTAATCCATGCACTTGGCAGATCAGGTATTTTCCTGGCAGACCTCACACTCCTGAAGCTGCCTAGTGATTTTACTGAGAGCCTTTTAACGCTCCATGTGCACTGGCTTCCTGCAGAGAGGGAAAACCAGGAGGAAAATGGTAACACTGAGCAAGCTGGTTCCTCAAGGTGCTTCCCAGACCTGGCTCCATGTAGCTCCTCGTGGCTTTGGCTCCGCTGCCAGCCTCCCCGGCCCTGCTCCTGGGCAGTGCTGAAAAGCCAAGGTGGTCCTTCTTTCTTCTCTGAGCCAGGAGCAGCTGTAGGGTTCTTGGACCAGGAAGGGACTTACTCCAGAGTCCACAGCAGACTAGTTTCTACTTTTTTTCCCTACCTAACAGGCTCTTGCCTTATACTTTCATCTAGGATAGAAGCCAAAATTTGTTATTTTCCCCCCAGAACTGTGCCAAAAAAAGTAAATATTTTTAAAGAGGCATTTGGAGTTTAACCCTGTGGAAGGAGAGTGGTGTGTCCTCGGTGAGCTACAGGAATGGAGATTTTTGGGAGGTCCCTTCTTTAGGGATGCATTTGCTGTCCCATTTTCTAAAATCGATGGGCTGAGTACCACCTAAAAGCACAAAAAGAGTGACATTTCCTGGTGATGCTTTTACTGACCTTGATTTTCCCCTTTCTTGCTGCTTTTTGGCCTTGTCCTGAAAAGTTGTTTGCCTTCTGCAAAAGCTTTCTTTTCTACAGCCTCTGATTTGCTTGCAAGGAAGAGCTATTTTTAAAGGTTGACTTGCCTTGAAGTGTGTGTGTTTATGCTGTAAACGGGCATCACACAGTAAAAATGTGACTTTTTCCAGATGAAACATTTTAGCAGGAGTTTCTTGATTGATCCAGCATAAAATAAAATTTCAGTTTGATTTTTTTTTTCCAAAAAAAATAATCCCATCTTTGTTTCTGAAGTCTAAAACTGCCTATGAAAGTTCCTGGAGGGATGAGATGAGAGGGAGGGGGAAAAAATGGCAATGGGGATATTCTGGAAGCAAAGATAATTTCTGCTAGGAAAAAAGAGAAACAGGTGTGAAGTGAGTAAATAAAATTGAGAAAAGATTTTCTTTATCATCAATTGTATTAATACCTGGAAGTACTCATGCTAGCAGAAGGTAAAGAAAGCAAGCCCACAAAATTTAAAGATCTTAAATTTAATAACCCAAAGAAACATAGTCTGGCAAATTTAAAAAATCCTGTTTGGGGAAAATCCATGATATTCCAGCTCAGCTGTCACCTGCTTTGGTGTAGCTTGAGATGAATCAATGGCATGTCCTGCTGCTGGAGGAGACCCTGTTCTGGGGTTGCAGTTTATCTCAGTTAATCAAAGAGGAGGAGAGAGGACACTCCCTTTGTGTGTTTGCAGTGTGAGCACAGTTTGGGAAGTTGTCAGTAGTTCTGCTTAAGTGCAGCTTTGCTAAACACAGCTTAGGCAGTCCCGAGTTTCTCCGTGTCCCTTCACTTATCCTGTCCTTTTGCTGATAGGATCTAGATAAGACCCAGGAAGAAATAAAGAAGCATCATGCCAACATCAGTGAGTTGAAGAAAAACTTCATGGAATCCGTCCCAGAGCCTCGGCCGAGTGAGTGGGACAAACGTTTGTCCACCCACTCCCCTTTCCGAAGCCTCAACGTCAACGGGCAGATTCCCACAGGAGCGGATGGAGTGAGTACCTTGGCATGGGGTGTTCCAAGGGGCAGTGTTGCACTGTGGGATTCAGCTCCCCTTAGCTTCTGCTTATTGTCAATTTTAATAGTTAGTATTGACTTGTACCATGTAGAATGTTCTCTGAGAGAATCAAAGCTTTAGTCATAGTATCATAAAAATGTGATTTTTTGGTAGAGAAGGATGTAAGAATTCCTTAACTGGTATTGATGTTACTTTTCCTAGTGTTGCTGTCAGTGTCAGATGCTAGACAGCACTTCCCATGGCTGGTTTGGGGACTGGCTCATTCCTGGATCTCCTCAGAATGTGGAAAAAACCCTGACAAACCCAATATCCAAAGACTGAAAATATTACTTCAGTGATAACATTACAGATAACCCAGTGCAGAAGCACTGGGATCGGATGATTTTTCCAAAATAATTTTGTTCTCCAGTTAATCTGGTATGTTGTTTGGTTTAGGCTTGCATTAGGAACTCCAGGGGCTGATCTGCTGTGGAGGCTTTGAAAAGACTCCTTGAGTGGCCACAGCAGGGCTGTTCAAACATGATGAGAATCTCCCTCCTTCCAGGAACTGTGTGTTAGTAACCACATACACTCACAGTTTCTCTGCTAATTTGCTTAAAATGGTAACTTTTCAAGTTAAAAAACAGTCACCAACTGGTTTCTTCTGGCTAACAGACAGCTCTGTGTCATGCTAGTGGTAACTGGCTCAGATTTGGAGTCTGTGAGTAAAACTGTAGTTAGTGCCTGTGGTAATCAGTCTTTTAAGTGGTAAATGCAATTTTTTATTGCAACAGAAAAATTGCATCTTGACTGCAAATGGTGGCAATTGAAGACTCTCCTTCCTTCTCAAAGCCCTGCAGATGAACTAGTATTTCATATTCAAACAAGGCAGATACTTATTAATCAGGAAATAATCTTTCAGTGGATGGAGGGAGGGTAATTGTAACATGTATAAAGGGTTTAACACCGAGTTTACTACTCCTCAAAGCTTGGAGTAAAGCCAGGGCTAAAGGGCTTTTTGTGCCTACTGGAAAAATGAGATCCCCAAAATGAACTTAATCGGGGTTGGTTGTTACAGAAGCTCAGAACGGTTTAAATTGGAAGGGAACTTAAAGCCCCTCCAGTCCCACCCCTGCCATGGGCTGGGGCACCTTCCACTGTCCTGAGTTCCTCCAAGCCCCATCCAGCCTGACTTTCCAGGGATCATGGGGCAGCCACTGTTTTTGTGGGCAGCCTATCATTGGGATTACCCTGTTTAACAAATGGATGGACTTTACCCTCTGTGGCTGAGCCTCAGTGTAGATTCTTCAGGAGTGTGGGCAGCAGAGCTCTGCTCACAGTGCCCAGTGGGTGGGACAGAGCAGAGGCTCTCAAGCTCTACAACTGCAGTTCAAGAATGTTATTCTTGTTTTTTTTATAAAGAATTTCTTGAAAGGTGACCACACTGAGACCTTGGAGGCCTGCTGGTCACCATAACTCGATGGTGTGAGCTTGTCCCACCTAAGACTGCAGTGGATCTGGAGCACTGCAGAATTGGTGTCAGCCCTAGATTTGCATTTCTGGAAGTTCCTTCTTAATCTGGTCCTCTTTGAAAAAATGATCTCACCCTGAGGTTGATATGTCCTGCTTTGAACTTCCAGAAATGCATCTTCCCCAGGCACTGACCGGGGAGAAAGTTTTCCCTCACGTGCATGTGTTGAAGGATCATAAATCAGATGGTAATTAAGGAATTGTAAATCATGGTGCAAAGCCATCGCTCCTGTTCATGATGCCCTGCCTTAGTGGCCAAAGGTTTTTTGCCAGCGCCCACTTCTCTGCTATTCCTGTATGTTTTATTATGAGACAACTGAACCGTAACACGCTTTGTGTGTCCAGGTCAAGAAAGTCACTGTCCCATCTTCTGAGAGACAGGTTGGTGGGCTTGAGGCAAAGCTGCTGCTCTGATCTGTGCTTCTGAACCAGACTTGCTATTGCAATGGCACCGAGCAAAAGCTCAACAGCAGCTGCTGTATAATGGTTTTTGGTTTTTTTGCTACATGAAGTAGTTTCATAACTCACACCCAGAGGACTTTGGCACTGCTGCAGCTTTTGCAGCTTTCAGTTTTTGCTTATTTTGGTGCATGGCTGGTTTGAAAAAGCTGCATGACCAGTATAACCATGTATTTGGAGACAAAAGCAATTCTGAAAATTTAACTGTTCCCTGTTTTTTTTTATGTCGTCTTTCTTTCCTTTTTTTTTCCTTTTTTTTTTTTTTTTTGTTGTTGTTGTTGTTGTTTTAATGATCATGTTACTTGTTACTCTTGCATTTTATATTTTCTTTTGCTGCCCAGTCTCCCAGCTACTTTCTCCCAAATTCTCACCACTTAGGGGTGTGCAAAGAACCAGTCCCAAAATACCGCACTGACCAGCGGAGGTTGGCTCAGCTGAGAGAGCTTAGAGCCAAGTTTTTCCTTTCCTAAGTACACTCGGGTTTGACCAGGGCTGGCAAACTAAAGGGATGTAGAGTTACTGAACAGCAACATTCCCACAATCATTCCTTTCTTCAGCAGAAGTGCTGAAGCCCTTGCATGGTCCAGTGTGCTGATTTACTCATTCTGGGTTTTTATTGTTCTTTAGACTCCAGAAACAAAAATGCTAAAACACAGAACAAAATTCCAGGATTTTGCACTGCTCCTACTGCCACTCTGCCCATTCCATGTGTGGGATTTCTAAGATTTACAGTTTTTCACTTGTTCAATAGAATTTTCAAACCAATTGAAATTTTGATACTCTGATTAGAACTTTGGAAAAGTGTTTTGTATCTGCTCTGCAGCCTGGCTGTTCTATGGGATTTTCCAAACACTGGGTTTTAAGGGCACTGTAGATTAGGAAGCTGTCAGAGACCACATTTTGTACCACACCATTCCTGTTTCGAATGCTTCAAACGTTTTTCTCACTATTCCAATTCCAAAACAATCTGGAAGATTTTGGGCATACACTTTTCTGGGAGGAGAGTCACCAAAGACCCATGATCCCAATACAGATGTTGATGAGCTCTGCAGACAGAACATGGTTCTGTAGCTCCAGGGCTGGTGTGACCCAGGCCACCAGAAGCTCCCCAGGGCAGTTTATTTTATGTTGATAAGAGCTGCCATAATGCTTTGCACATCTCCAAGTGTCATTTTGGGCACTTTCCATCTGTCATTTTTGTTCATCTCTCTCTGTCTTTCTTGATCTTCTACCATGAAAGCAGACACAGGAACGGCCTCTGTTAGTACAGAATGAAGACAAACTAAAAGAGCAGGAGATACCTACTGAGACAGCCTTTCCCCGGCCAGCAAGTGAAGCAACTCTTCCAAAGGTTTCTATTACAATCCCTGAAGAGCAGAAATCACTCAAAAAGTGTCAGCTATACCCTAGCATTTTTCCTTCTCCACGTATTCCCTTTATGATGTCCTTTCTCCTGGTCATAGCACTGACTGTTTGGTGGTTGCTCTTTCTCTGAGTGGCAACAGGGTCATGTTGAAACCTGAAGACCAAAGCTCCTGAACTTCTGGGCTGTAGTCTCTGCTGCATCTTCTTTGTCCTGGTCTTTGATCTCCGTAGTTCGCTGTCCCTGGGAGGGACACCCTGTGACTGTTGTGTTAATCCTTCTGTATGTCCTTGTGTGGCTGTGATGGGACCTGGCAGGAGTGGCTGTGGATTGCCAGGTCCATTCTGAAGTTTCCTATGGTGCAAAAGCAAATTCTTTGAATTGTGTTCCCAGCTGCTGTGGGAGAGCAGATGAGGGGAGGAAATCCTGAGAGGAGAGTCTGGTTTCCCAAGCCCCTGACGACTTCCCATAGGAATTGCTGGATAATTGCTTTTAAGCTTGTTATTTTAAATGTAAGATACTCACAAGCTGAAGAACATTTGACACTGATCTAAAATGTGCTTTACAGGAATCTTCTGAATCACAGAATCCTGGAATGGTTTGGGGTTGGAAGGGCCCATAAACATCGTCTTGTTCCCTCTCTGCTATGGGTAGGGAACCTTCCCCCAGAACAGGTCGTTCCAGGTCCCATCCAACCTGGCCTTGAACAATTCTAGGCATGGGAATCCACAGCCTCTGTGGGGAACAAGAGGTTGACTCTCTAGGAAGAACATTGGAATCTAATCCATAAGCACTAAACTTCTAGGAAACTCAGATTGGCATTTAAATAAAAAGTGCTCACTGCTCCTCTTGGTAATAATTCAGGGGCAGGGTGTGCTTTTCATTTTCTAGTGGGGGAAACCTGTGACAAAGTATCCCAGCTTCCCTCTCCACCCCTATTCTCACATCCAAGAAAATACATAGTGTTACAGGAGAAAACCCATTGCAAGGAGATATTTATTGTAAACATAGATTAATTTTTTTTTTTATTTGAAGGTCTTGGTGCACTTGGGATGTGTTTCATTTAATTTGTGTAGAACTAACTGAGGCATGTTTGCTTAGGTCACAGAGATGAAGTTGCCTATTGTTTGAGTATTCCCTCTATTGTCATGTTGACTTAACCACATCAGGACACACATCTAATGTTAAAGCCCTCAATTGTTTTTGACTTCTTTAACCAAACTGTTGCATGCTGGTTGTTTTTCATTGCCTACAATGTAAGTGTCTGGATGATGCTCCCATTTGTCCAAGTTATCCTGGCTGAGCTGTGCAGGCTCCAGCCCAGCTGGACTGAGCAGAGCTGGTTTGTGAACTGGAGAGAAGGTGGGGCTTTGTGTCTAAGGGGTTTCTTTTCTGTAAATAGTAATGATGGGGCTGAGCTGAGCCCCCCATTTCTCCTTTCAGCACTAATTCGTGTTCTCCTGTGTCCACTGGAAGACTGGGCTGGACACAGTCACTCTGAGAACACCCCCTATTGTCACCAATGGTAGCAACTGCTCCAGCAGCATGGAAGAGAAAGGAGAAGGCCTTTATTACATGGACTAAAATGTGTGAATATATATAAATAGCTGTATTTATAAGCCTTTCTAGATCTGTATCTGTGTGA